GTGGGGGTTGGTGGTCTACCCCACTCAAAATATCTATCCTACCCACTCCACTCACAAGATGATCCAAGGGCCACAATTCAAAGGCCAATTACATCAAATCAAGATCAATGGCCAAGATGAGTTCTAGACCAAAATATCCAAGGGCACTTTGGGGAATGAGCAAGAGTGATGGGGCACCAATGTCCAAGGATTTTTGACACTAATAGGGCTGCATAATACTAATTAAATCTCTAAAAATTCGGAATTAACACTTTAGGCCTAGGGGCAAATCGGTAATTTTCCGATTCCGGGCCGAAATTCCAGTTTTCGACTATACCGATCCCAAATATAATTGGCCACATAAATACGACGTTGTCCTTGTAAAATAGTCGCGTACGTCTATGAAATTCGACACTCAAGTCTGGACTCAATTCCACGATCAATTTTGCTCAAATGCGATTTTAGCGTCTCTCACTAACGGGCAGCTGTTTAGGGGTTACGCGTATCGACTTAGGATTACTCGAGTCGTGACGGTCTCGACTTCCAAGAGAATACGAGGATTATCACTAGTTCCGGGGGTCACGATCGTTCGGAATAAGTTTGGGATTGTTTGCCACACGCACTCTCGGTCGTGCGGAATCACCCGCGTTCCGATCGTACGTCGTTGGCTAAACCAAATCCGTCACCCTCCTTGGATCAGCCCACATTGGTCCAAAATATTTCCTCGTCGTTTCTCGGAATCGAACTCAATTCGCGATTGAGTTCTTGGGTCCACGTACCGTTTTCCTAGATAGCCATTCCCTAATGGTCAGTATCCCGAGAAGGATCTGTTCCGGGTGAGACTTACTAAAATGAAATGAGGAATGCACATCTATTTCATCGATCACGAAAGTGGGTCGAATTCAGGATGTTACACTTCTTGTCAATCTTAAAACCTAAAAGAGTCCTCTAGTATAGCTTGAGGTGAATGGAAGGGCTTCTATTGCAGATAATCACCTAGGCATAACCATTTCTAGAAGATGTAGGCAAGATGAAGATCACACAAGAGTCCATTTACATGATTTCTGACCCCAGTGAGACTTGTCATCTGCCCTTTGCACCAATATTACTGAAATATTAGCCTTTGACTATAAGATGATTTATGATACCTCGGAGAAGCTAAGTAGCTCCTCTCTCCTATCACATATGGAAGTTTTGCTGCGCGAACTATTGATGCCGCTACCTAAGTGAAATTCATCCTTCTTCATTTTGTAACTCCTCTCTAACATTTGCAAATCCCACTAAGAAGCACACCCTTCCTGGAAAATAAACTGAACATAAGCATATCAATACAGAGTGTCTGTCTTCTTCACAATTACAACGATGAGTTGATTATGCTGTAAAGCTCCAGAATGAACCATAGTTACATGACCTTCCAGCACACAGCCCATCTAATTGCTCACAGCATAACGAGGTTATCTCCAATGCGAAGCGAGGTTATCAACTTCGAAATATGTGAAACAACAAATCAACACGGATCTCTAATAATTTGTTACATATCAAATAAAAACAACGCAAAATAACAAAATGAATGACATTTGATTAAAGGACGTACCTTTGAAACTTACCTCGAGCTTTGGTATTGATCTCACCATCGGTGCTCTCATCTCTCATTCTCTCGGCCATGTAGTGTGAATGGGAAGGAAAGAAAGGATGGAAATGAAAGGAAGGAAAAAAAAAAGGAGGAGGAGTAGTCTTACCATCGTAAGAAATGGGTTTCAACTATAAGAGATAGTCTTACCATTGTACGAAATGGGTTTCGACTAAAAGGAGTGGTCTTACCGTGTAACAACAAATTTCGACTAAAAAGTGATGAATTGGTCACGGCTACCAACATTCACCATGTCGATTCAATAAAAGAATGATCATGAGTGCGAGAGCACATCATGCCGATTTGAAGAGGTCACGGGCGCGAAAGCTCACCATGCCTAATTTGAAAAAAGGATGGTCATGAGTGCGAAAGCACATCATGCTGACTTGAAAAAGGAAGAGGATAATGAAGATCCGCTCCACTTGGGGAATTTTGATTTAGGAAGGATTGCAAACTGCAATTACTTGGATATTGAAAATTCGAAGCTACTAACCTGTATCCACTTGGAAAGACTATTACAAGGGAATCATTCATGGTTGCATAACCAAGAAATTCCATCAACTTTTGTGACAACATGAAGACTTTGAATGTCATTCAAATGATCGCCAATCAATTGTTGATAAATATCACCAATTTATCAAAATTCCTTTGAAGGAAAGTTTTGAACAAAATGATTTTGAAGAATTTGTTAAAAATTCCAAGTTGAAGTGCCTTAATAAAAAAAGGTCTTCTTACAATGGCTCTCATGAAGGGCTTTTACTCCAATCCATTAATGTGGGATTCCAACTTCGAACACTGGGGATATCTCACAACCTATATCGGAGGCTTTTGGACATATTCGCAATGAATACAATTTGATTAATCAAAAATGTCTTTTAAAGAACCGTAATGTAGGTTTGGTCACGGGCTTACATAAAGGATTGTCACAAAAAGGCCAAGAAAGAAGTGTCAAGTATCTTCATCGGGTTTATAAGTCAAAAACCTCGAAGATAAGATAATATAGGATTGCTTCCAAATCTTCAAGCAGTAGCTTCTTTGTGAAACCTTCATGTCTACTTGAACCATCCCAATCGGAAGAGACTTCGGATAGGGTTGTAATGTCGGTTCAGGTGAGGCTCAAAAGGCTTAAAATTTTGTAGAAGGGGTTTTAAAAAGAAGATGGTGATGATCTTGACATCATTACCAAATCATCCAATCTTAATAATATTTGGCTTTTGAAACTTGTCTCGAGAATCCATTTTTCTTGCAACACGAGAGCTTTGCTCTTTCTAAGCATATTTTGCAATTGGAATTTTGTTTTCATCATAAGCATATTGCTTTTTGCTTTTGCTTTTGATGCATTTTCTTTTTTATGGGCATTAGCATAGCTGTTACCAGGCACACTACTTTTTCATGCCCCATAATATTCATTTTTTTGAGCTCTTAGGACTCTCGAGACACTCTACACTTATTCACCCATTTTAATTTTCTTGGTAAATCATATGCATTGTCCCAATATAGGGAGATAATCACCACTTGGGCTTTGAAATGAACATGTTCAAGGCTCAACTTAGCTAAGCAAAAAATAATTGTGTTTGGGTAGAGAAAGGAATGCTCTTCATTTTAGGATGCTTCGAGCTTCCATAAAGATCACCTGAAGTTACCACAAAAAGGTTGATGCAAGTAAAAGTAATAAAATCTTTCTTAATCTTTTTGCTCCAAAATGATCAACCATAACCTCCTAACTTGCCCCAATGTAGGGTGGTTCGCGACAGGGGTATTTCGAAAATTCTCCCTATTTGGCTCAAAGTGGCTACCAAGGGATAAAATGAGTGTTTAGGATAGAGAAGTGAAATGCCCTTTATCACTACAATTCATGTATAATTATTATTCATGTCTTCATTGTTCGTGTCGTACATGATCGTTGTTAGACATTGCGGGCTCTTCGATGCCCATCAGATGAATGTGATGCTGACTATAATCTGGGCTTGATCGTCCTGTAATTTCTTTTTTCTGTCATACCTCTGATTCTTCTCTAATGCTACATTTCTTCCATTAGTACAAAGATTTCTGCTGGCACACAGTCTTATCTACAAGCAGTAATGTGCAGTCTATTATGCTTTCAAAATTTACGCAGTTTGCTGTGCACACAAAATATGCAACTAGCCGAGGCCATTCTTGATTACTTGGATTTGAAAGGATAATATGGATAGTGACTAGCCTCGCAATGCAACGAATCATACATCGTACCAGTCTTCGTTGCTGCAGGAAGACAACCATTGATGCTCTGTATGAACAGCCCCATCAACCTTCAGCCCCTCAGTTATGGGGCTCAATTTGGAGCTACTGTTCCGCTGAACTACCCCGTAGGCATCGAAGGACATGCAATCAGATGTACATGCCAAAACAGTGAATGTGCGAATTTGGTGCCAAAACACAAGGTCGTGTTCAAGCGAAGACACCTCATAACTAACACACTTTTGACAAGAACATACACAGGTCACAGCGGCATGTGATGCTAAAGCATATGAACCATCACTCAACAATTGGTAGCAAATAGGGAATCCGAGGACTTTAGGATATTATTGAAGATGAAGCATCTTCCCAATAAATGGTCGTTGCAGTTCAGAGTGTGCATGACCTAGAGATCGTTTTGAGGTCTTGGAGACGTATCATGTTGGCAAATTCGCAAGATTTTCCTTTGAGGCAAAGCATTTCACACACATTTCCCATGTACAGACCTTTACTTTCAGCATCTAAACCCCAGAGAAATCTGCATTCAGGAATGCATTGGCACATGAGGAGGCTAACAAAAACTTCTATGTTAATCCAAACACACGTACCTTTGTCACGGGTATAACGTTAGTTGGCCCGTTATATGAACCTTCCGATGACCACCATATTTGGAGTGTTGGGCATCATTTTTTTGCAAGGAATGGTAGGTAACTTTGACAGTACTGTAAATTTGGTTTACAAAGTAACGTGGTGCATTGGAAGTAAGCGCGCCATATTTAAGCACCTAACAATAGCTTAACACTTCCTTTTGTAAACCAATTTCATATACTGATCCTAGTATCCCAAAAATCATTCTTATTTATACAATTTCCCATTTTAGCAGCACTTTAGCTAACTGGGGAAGTTCTTTCAAAGGCATAGACAGGATATGTGCCCGGGAAAGACGGAGACAGCCGATAACTCATTTTCTGTGCTTTGGTAGAACACTCCCCTCGTATATATTGAGAAACCTAATGCATCGTCGGCCGTTATGATCTTCTCAAGCATGCTGGACTAAGAGATGGTCATCTGTGAATAGTAAGATATCATCGAACAATTTCACTATGTTCGGTCAACCCCTCTTAATTTCTTGTGCAAAAAACCATCCAAAATACATGTTCACAGCAATCAGAAGGACTAGAAATACAGCTTACTTTCAAATTTTAGAAGTAAAAGACCTATTGTGTACGCAAGCATTTGCAATTTACTGTCTCAAACACAACCTGGGGCACTCTAAAATTAGGACCCCAACTTGACTTACCATGTGATCAAGTTAATACAATATCGCACGGATATTCGTTTATTACAAACATAATAATTGTTTCAAAGACAGCCGATGCTACATTTTGTAAGTGGATGTTTTTCGAATGGCTGGAATTTTATTGTCATCAGAGAGGAACTCCTTAAACCACGTCGCTGACCATTTGGGTGTTCTCTGCAGTGTTTGGAAGTCCACATAATGCAGCCCAAATCGTATCAAATATCCGTGTAGCCATTCGAAGTTGTCTAGCAGAGACCAGATGAAATATGCCCTCACATCTGCTCCTTTTCTGAAATAATTAAAATAAAAAATTTAGTCGTGAACAAAAAATACTAATCATATAGACTCGGTATGGACGGATTTAATATTATGAAAATTGATTTCTTTATTTTTTTTTTTTTTGGTAAAGGTAAATGTATATATTACTTTTCATTAAACCAATACAACCTAAAGCCAAAACCAGCCTGTGACCCAATTAGGACATGGAGATGTCCAGACGAGGTCAAAGGTGGTTCCGCGAGGACTATACAAGAAGACAGAGGCTAGAGTAAACAGACTATGAATCACGCAAAGAACAAATCTGGGAAATATTGATGTTAATTGAGGAATAGTGCAGGCATTCGACACTGGACGAAACGCTAGATTTACCTCACAACTTCACTTAAGACGGCGAGATAGCCCTCATGGTAAGCTATTCTCTTTGTGTTGTTCAGCGAATCATCGATCGGACCTGTAGGTTGTGCATACCCTGTAAAATAACGATGAATCTTTCCTTTTATTGATGGAATCAACTGTTTATTGTATGCTAAAACTTAGATGATGAAAAAGAGTCCGGTTTGGAGTTGTTTAAGTGACACAATACCATTCTCAGTGATGAACATGGGCGTGCTGTTGTATCTTTCTTTGACGTAGGTAACAATCCTTTCAATGCCCTTCGGAACGACAAAGAAATCCGACATCACAGTCTGCAATGTGATCATGAACTATTAGTCCCGAAACATATAATCCTGACTGGGAAATCGACTCAAAATCACGGCTAAGAAAGCTGCTAAATGGTCTCAAAGTAATATTTTCCAAGCGGGTCTTAACGATGAAATTGTATATCATTAGCTGCTTCATTATATATGCTATAGTAATTGTAGTTGCTCAACTAGTTACGCCAAATTAAGCCGACATTATCTCTCGGAACAATAGGATGAGCTTAACGACATCTTTAATTTTCGCAAACGTTCTATAAATGTATGTCCAGGCACATGTGCTTACGTCGCTTACCCTCTCGCCGATGTATACTCCATTTTTTTCTCCAGTGACATACACGGACGCCTCCCCTAGAGAGACGGCCGAAGTGCATAAAGAGAACATGCAGTCCTTTACGTATTTAGTCGTGTAGTGATTTATTCCAATGAAATCCAACTTCACGTCAAGTTTCTTCTGCTCTTCTGCCGAAAATGTCGGCAATCTTGAACCCACGACTTGACGCATCTCGGGCGGATAATCTCCGTATACTAAAGGGTCTACGAACCTGTAATTGATAGAAATTATGAACAATTATAGGAGCAACAAAGATGGAGAGAACATGTATTTCTTTTTTGGACCATAGAACATGGTTTTGAGTAAGAGAGAATCCGTGTACCATGCAAAATCGAAAGCTAAAGTTCGTTGGACAGCCAAACGATCAGCCGGAGTGTTGTTGTACGGCACGTACCACGCAGCAGAAATTGTAATATTTGAGTATTAAAAAAAAAAAAAAAAAGGTCAACAAGTCAACATTTGCTACAGTGAACTTCAATTATAAAAGAGGACCGAGAGCTTTCGGGGAGGAGAAAACAGAAACGGAAAAGAAAGAAAGAGAGGAAGAGAAAAAGAAGAAGAAGAAAGGGAGGGTTTGGTGCCGCGCGAACCTCGCCTAGCCGATTCGACTTCGTATCGCAACGCCCGGTAAGCATTCACGCCCCTCGTTTGTCCGATCGGAAAAGTTTTCCGATTTAGGGCTTGAAATTCGGAATTTTGGGAAATTCGAGCGGCGAAGTCCGATTTTTGAGTCGTAGAGCTGTGTATTTTTATAGAATTGATAGTTTGTGGTGTTGTGGAGCTGTGGGATCTTACGGATCTTGATTTGGACCTACGGTTTGCCCAATATGAATTTTTGAAGTTGGCCGCACAAGGTGAACAGTGCGCGATCAGTGGGCTTTAGGCCGATTTTCGTCGGTTTTCGGCTCGATTTTGGGACGGTCAAGTTGGGGCTTTTGTAATACTCGGAACGGGCTTTCTTTTGACTATAAGTTTGCTAGGATCGGAGTTCGATGGAAAAGTTATGGCGCGATCAAGTTTCGCGTTCAAGTTTCGCGTTGCGGCCGATTTGGATAATCGCTTTGGATGAGGATTTGTGGGCGTGTTTGAGTCGTTTTGATTAGCGTCTAAGCTTAGTTTAGTCTAGTCGTTAGTGAAATGGTGCTTTACTTGATTTTGATGTCGATTCTCGTTTAATTGTTAGGATTACGAGATCGTCGATTCGAGTGAGCGTGGTTGTTTGATTTTTGGGATTCCAGGTGAGTGGTACTATCTCTTCTTTGGTTTTATAAAAATCATATCTCGAAGGAATTATGATTCGACATAAATATATATGTTGAACTTAAAAGAGCATTTTGTTGCATAAATCGGGATCGAGCATTTACTACTTTTTAGTATTTGTCAATGATTTGAGAATCGTTTTTGGAAATGTATTATGAAAGGATACATTTGTATATTGTGTTATGAACTAGTTTATGAAATGAGTTCGGAAATTATTCAAGAAATGCTCTACGAAATGTATTTCCGGCGGATGAGCCGTGTTACGAGAAAGTTATTTGTTTGGTTTGTGAAATGTATTCTGGATTAGATTTCTGATATTGGATGATGATTGTTTGATGCTCAATATCGCTGTGAGCCCATTGAGGGGGCTTGGGGGTATGCATACCGGGTTTAGGATATCCTTCTGGGCCGAGCCACCGGCTTTGTAGGTGGAGACCTTACCAAGGGGGGAATCTTGGTAGCCTTGTCACAAGGCTTTGTGTCGTGACCATAGTTAGATATTGAGCAATAGATTGGTCGATGGAATGGACCATCGACGTTTGATATGATATGAGATTCATCAATGGAATAGACCATTGATGTGTGATTTGAGATTAGTCAATGGAATGGACCATTGACGTGGTTTGTATAGAGATTGATCAATGGACTTGACCATTGATAGTTTGAATTGTGATTGTGGATTTAAATGTGTATTTGTGACTTGTACAAAGTTTTGATGAAATGAAATAACTGTTATGTGATTCTATATGTATTTTAAACCTTGGGTTTGGCTTCTGAAGTTCTGGTATTGCTTTGTACATATGCATAGTGATTGCTCGATCTACTTAGAAGAGATGTACTATTCACTGAGCTGTGGTTGCTCACCCCCCTCTTTTCCCAACCTTTCAGGTTCTTTGTTTAGCAGCCAATAGAACGAGAGCGATGTCATTGGGATTCTTGGGTGGTTTGAGGCTGCGTCCTTTGGGCGAAAGGACGGCCGTGTCATTCCCCATATTGGTAGGTTTTGGGGTGTGACAGAAATCACAATACCAATCATTCCTCCTTGCTTTTCCTGATTATAATTTTTTGTTTAGGTTCAATAATTACATAATATATGTATGTGTACGTCGCACAAAACAAAATAAGAATGAATGTATAAGAAGAGTGTCAAAAGTAAGATTTGTAATGAAGCTATGAAAGTATGAACTGAGCTTCTTGGCCTAGATGTATGAGAGACTCAAGTGATGACAAACTTCCGTTGTGTTCATTCTCATGAATGTTGAAGTATTTAAGAGAAAAAGTGATGATTTCACTTTCACATCTGAATGAGGCTATTGGTTCATTTCTGTTCTTTCTCGTTCTTTTATGCCTTGAACACAAGATGGTGATGGTAAAATTGGTAATGAAGCCAGTTAATGCACTGAAAAGAATCAATTCCAAGCTCTTTAATTTACCTGGTAATACTTCTGGTAAATTTGAGCGGCCGTGGCATGGGACAACACCAGATTGTGGGACGCAATGTAGGGTTCGATAGCGTAGTCGCCGTAGGAGCAATTGCCAAATGGGTAGGAGCACCGGCCGGGTGGGCAAGTCCCCGAGAGGTAACCATCATAGATGAATATGTTAGGCTCATTGAATGTGGTCCAATACGTCACTCTATCTCCAAAAGCTTCGAAACAAACTTGTGCAAAGTAGCCGAAATCCAGCCTCCAAACAATTACAGAACACATGAAGTAAAATCCCGAGATATGACTGGATCGTAGTATTGATGAAGATTAGAAAGGGCGGCAGTGACAATTTTGCTTACTGTATTTCGGAACTCAGCCACGCACCGTACCGGTCTTCTAGCAGTTGAGGAATGTCGAAATGGTTCAACGTCACAAACGGCTGTATACCTTGTCCAAAAGAACATATTACAAATACTCAGAATGGGTAATTCATCTTCTTCCTAAAGTAATGACTGCATAAGGCAAGGGAAAGAAGAACAATCCAATGAAGATTATTGAATTGATACATTGAAAAAAAATATTTATGGAAAAAAATTGAGTTTTACAATGTGAATGTCAAATAGATTTGTGCAATTTTCTTGTACCTCTGACCAAAAGGGCATCAATGAGATTGTTGTAGAAGTCAATGCCTTCTGAATTGACCTCCCCAAATCTTCCCTCTGGAGTTATACAAAGCCAAAATAAGAACAAAAATAGAATAAAATAGAATAATCATAGAAAAGCCATGAAAATGATAGAACTGAAGATATGAAGATAACAAAATTGCATACTAGGTAGAACTCTAGACCAAGATACGGAGAATCTGTATGCATCCACCCCGAGATCATGCATCAACTTTATATCTTCCTGTTGCACATTAATATATCCAGGAGATTAAAAAAGAACATCAAGCTTTGGTAAGAGGAAATTGATCTTTCCGTGAGTACCCAAATTGAATTTATAATACACAGGCACCACTGATTATCAAAGCTCTTAAAAGTTCCAGAAAGCTAACTTAGAATTTCAATCAGACCAGTTTAGTGTAAAAGCTGGAAGATAAACAATTTTATTATGACATTTTGGGCTTTTGATGAGGCTGTAATGAGAGCATAGAGAAAGTCAAGTACCATAAAGAGATTATAGTGATTATCCGCCACGTCAGCATTGCTTCCATCTTCTATTTTGCCTGAACATCAAAGGCAAGTCCCTTAGATATGGAAACACGAGACTCTCTCTTTGAGAAAATTTCAAATAGGGACGTGAGGTGACGCAACTTTTTCAAAAGAAGAAAATTTCCAGTGAGCTCGGAGTGTGTTTTGACACTAAATTGTCACTTCAGGGCCCCATCTTTTTAGATGAAAATTGGTTTCATCAACCCACTTTGATACCCCAATATTGTTGCATCATACAATCTTTCCTAACATATGAAATGAACTAATTTTATTAGCTGGCCGCTGACGATCTCTGTGTTAAACTATTGGTCAATCAATGATTGCTCAATGACAATTATAAAGTAAAAACTTTAGCAACAACCATAAAAAAATTATCAAAAACAGACTACAAAAAGAATGCAAATTTCATTACACATATAATAGTCTGACCCGCCTAAGAGACTGATTGATCGGTTGCAAGTCATTGTCATCCTATAAATGAAGGAGCTCCAATAAATTACACAACATCTTCTTATTTGTATTTTTGTATAATTTTCTTTATTAAGGTGAATTGGTCTTTAATTGTTTTCAGTCATAGCCTAGTCAAATTTTTTAAAAGAAAACTACATAGCAAAAAATTACGCCTGTTTAGATATTTCGTTTAGCTACTAGCTTGTTAGCTTTTTTATAATCGTATAGTAGGATGAAATTAACTATTGTAGAAGGTGAATTGACTGCTAAATATACACATGGTGTTCGATTAAATTAGTCACTATGCTAGTACTTTAATTTTGTCACAGAGTTTATCAATTGGACATCTCTATTTTTCTTCTTTTGTCTAAACATATGCTATCGAGAATTTTCCCGGGTACAACTTCACAACCAAAAACTTATTTAACAATTTCCAAATACATGTAAGTTTCGTATAATTCGGTGGAATGGTAGGTAAAACCCATATTTCAGAAGTGATTGGAAAGCAATTTTCAATTTTCTTGGTTTTAATAGGACAGAGTAATTCACTTTTTCAATTGATTTTGACCCAAAAAAATAAATAATTCTCGTGTCCTTGTTTGATTTGAGAGGGAGATATTATTTATTTTCTTTTGTTGCTTTCATTAGACCCTTGACCCTATAATCCTACTTAATTTGCATACAAAATGAATATATAATAAATAAATAAGAAACAGAAAAATAGAGTGAGGACCTGGTATGTGTGAGAAGACATCCCAATTGCTGAGGCTTTTGTTACCTTGCAGGTAGGCCCCTTCAATCTGGGCAGAACATATTAAATATTGAATTATTTAGTACAAACTTGTCGAGGTAATTCACATATAATTCAAAGAAAAAACCACCATAAATATATTTAAAAGGAAAAAAATGCATTTTCGATTGCTTTTCAGAGCAATCCAAAAACGTGCCAGACAGTCGTGGACATGACTCATAAGGAGCTGTCTTGTAGATGAACAAGGGCAATTGACTCTGTCCAAAAAGAATCGCCAGAGGATCGGCCGAGTCCCCACCACTGCTTCTTTAGTTTCATCCACCCTTCAACGTTTTATTTTGGGACCATGGCTTCTGCTCAATGGATTGATTCCAAGACATTAATTTATGTTTGCCGTACATGCGATTATCTATTCCCCGGTTTAAACTTTATATTTAAGTCATGTTCTACCCTCGGGTGCTTGGCCACTCTCGTGTCGTTTCTAATTCCCCTTACACAAGGTGTTCAGCGTGTGTTTTTTTTAACATACCCGTAGTCTCCCTTAACCTATCATGCGAGCTCCGCAGCAGAACTCGGCCATGGCCATGATAGCTTTGCTGCCGAGCTCAGCCATGGCCGCACAAGAAGGAGAAATAGAAAAGGGATGAAAACAGAGAGAGGGTTGAAGATGAAGACGACGGAGAAGAAGGAGACAGGGCAAGAAAGAGAGCCTTACCAAAGAAAAAGAAGAGAGAGAAGTCAAACGTGCAATTTTTCAAGCTCTGTCACGTGGAGGGAGAGGTATGGTGGGATCTGCTGATTAAATGAGAAGAAAGGAAAGTAAGAGTGAGAACGGTAATTATTCTGTTTTTTTATTTTTTTGCTCTCGAAAATAGATTTAGAATAGAAATTCATTTGGTAAAATAATTTTATTTTATATTTTTGAGACAAATTTTGATCCAAAAATAAATTTGAAATAGAAATGAGAAGTTAAAATTTTTTACTTTTCTATTTCTGAAACAGAAACAGAAATAACAACTCTCTTTTATTACTCACACTTGTCGCCCACCGTCTCCCACTAGCCGCCACCCACCGCCGCTTGCCGGCAGGCCGTTCGCCGCCGTCGTTCGCTAGCCGCCTGCCCGTCACGGCTGCCTTTCACCGGCCATCTATCGCTGCTGCTTCGGCCCCACGCCGCCGCCGCTTATGGGTCCCCCCCCGCCGCCCGGCCTTGCTGGCCATCTGCCGCCGCTACGCCGCTGCCGCGGCCGGTCCACCACCGTCGCCGCCTTTCACAGGTCATCTGCCGTTGCCGGCCACTCGCCGGCCGTTTATTACCGCTCGTGGCACCCCATTGCCGCTTGCCCGTCGCTCGCCGGCCGTCGCCTGTCGCCACCGCTTCTCGCTGGCCACCCGCCAACCATCCGCCATCGCCTGTCGCCACTGCCTGTCGCCGGCCATCCACTGTTGCCCATCGCCATCGCTGCTCGCTAGCCATCTGCCGTCGCCCATCACCACCGCCACTTGCCGGCGGTCCGTCGCCACCGTCGCCGCTCATTGCCTGCCGCCCGTCCGCCACTGCTGCCTCCTTTCATCAGTCATCCACCGCCGGCCATTCGTCACCCCCCATCGCCGCCGGCCCACTGCTCGGTGGCCTTCCGCCATCGCCCGTTGCCACCGCCTCTTGCCGGCCATCCACCGTCGCCCGTCGCCACCGCCGTCACTCACCGGCCGGCGAGAATAAAAATTTTGCGTCGTTATCAAATGAATTTCTTTTCCGCGAACAAAAATTTTATGTCGTTATTAAACATTACTTTTTGCTTAGAAATTCGTGCGGAAAAGAGAGATATAGTTTTTAATTTCTAGATAGAAATAGAGCTGGAAAAGAGAAATGTTGTCGTTCGTATCCTAGGAGTTTAATATAAAACTATAATTATGTTTTTGAGTGCACAAATGGTCAATAAAACCACTAACTATTGTTCACGGTACAATGTCCCATCAAATCAATTGAAAGAAAAAACAATATCGCACTTCAATAATTAGATCTTCCCAAACCCAAAAAAAAAAGTCCTAGCTGGACGACCTTTCGTCAGTCACGAAGGGGATTGTCATTGAAAATTGGAATGGAACTAGGTTTTCAGCAATATACTCCACGCAAAATTCCGGTAGGACCAACCATTCTTATTGAATAGCAAGGTACTTATTTTCAAGCGAAAGCACCCGATTCGATTCCGACCTTGATACGTGAACGATTGCAATCACAATAGGATAGCGTTCGATCAAATGGGTATGAATCCAATATCAAAATCAATACGATTGATGTATGCATGCAACAACTGTGTCCTAGTGTAAAATAACCAATAGGGTCGAAATGTCGGGCACTTGCTATGATTTCAATATAAGATAAAACTTCATTATTCATGTCAAAGCACCTCACGTGACTTATATATACACTTTCCTTTTTAGCCAAAGTACACGCCATAATTTATAATGGCCTCCTTTGATATGTGATTTATAATGGCCTCCTTAAATTTGCAGTTTCCTAATCCCCCACTAAATAACTTGATGTTTTAATAGACTTTTTAACGAATTCCTTTTTTTCTAAACCCGTTTCGGTTTTTGCCCTAATAAATTTGGCGGGCCAAAAAAAGAAAAGAAAGCGCTCATAAACATCATTTAATCGTTACTATTTTGTAGGTAGAAAAGACTTGTAGTGTTTCGAAAGTGAAGTATACCGCATGATTCACACATTTTCCCATGATCCTATCTACAATTCATGTTATGTTCCGTAAGACCAGACGTATTCCATGTACTTACGCAATTGCAAGCATCCTATCCTATGATCGAAAAATGACATATAAAATCAACCTTCTTAAAATATTATATACCATACTAATAACTGCCTAACTTTCTGACCAAAAAAGAAAAAAATCTGCCTAACTTTATTATTACCAGCCGCCCCATGGTAAAATTTCAAGTACCCTGGTGAAAATGCAACACCTTATAAATAGATTAGGATCAGCCATGTTGAGAACAATTGTGCAAGCTGGTCATCACAGCCAATGAAAGACCTTTTCCGGATTAATTCCAAGAGAAATGGATTAAATTTGGGATGGTTAAAGTTCATTATCTTAGTGTGTCTCAATCCGTGTTATATGTGGCAAAAAAAATTGACACGTTGCTGAGCCTGAGTTTTAAAGTTAAACATCAAGAATACATATGTCAGATTCAATGCACATGAACATGAATTGAGACCCAAAAAGTAGAAACCACCAGAGTCAAATCTTGAATGTACTTTGAATGTGGAACTCTTGGAAAAAGGTAAAATAGTGAGAAAAAAAAATATAACCTTGACTTTCAAACTAATAAAAAGAGCAAGACTTTGTACCACCGTGACAATTAACAGGACCTATCAAACATACTTAAAGAATATAGAAATGTCTGTCGCGCGTCATCAAAATATATATGTTAGCATCGCATCCAGAATCGGAAGTTCCAAAACTTTACCCAAAAGAACCTATTTTGGAAGAAAGTTATGGATGCTTGTTTAAGGGAGAGATAATACTTGGACGTTTGTTTAGAAAAAATAATGTGCTTTCAGTGTTCACGGGACCCCATAAAATTGACATTAGGCTGAAAGTGGTCTGTATTGGACGGTTTTTAATGTTTTGTACCAACCGTTACTAGCTGTCAACACAGTGAGAGTCAAGTGAGGCTGACACATGGACGAGATTAGTCGAGAAAGAACAGAATACTATAGCATGTTATTTTTATCATGGTAATAAAAAGGTTGTCCATCATTTTTAACTTTTGAAAGATCGTTTTGCGCTTTTTTTTTACTTGGCTAGATTTTTAGAGATGCATCTCTGCTAGATTAGACTTGACAGCGCAAAAGAAGGTCAAGTTGGGGCAAGATTCGAGGCATTGCAGGTTGATCAATCGAGGAACAAGTTCGCGACCCACACGTCCAAATTGTTCGAGACTACAAGAGGTTCGAGCTTTTTGGAGGCGGAGCAAACAGAAAGGACCCTTTTGTCCTGTCGTTCCCTCATGGTAGATTTTGGAGAGAGAAAATGGGCAAAGCAAAGCATTTTGTGCCATCAAGACCGATGGAGTTTGGGTCGCTAGGTTTAACTTTCCAAATGTTATTTAGGGAAATACAAATACCTTTAAATTAAAATCTTTTGGAAAAATGCAAGTGGCGTTTAGTAAAAAATCATTTGTAAAGTTATTTTGATCTGTTTGGTAAATTTTTTTTTTTAAAAGGGCTTTAGGAATTATCTTTTTTATTAAAAATAAAAAACCTACCCTACCCTTCGTCGAAGCCGGCGAAGGCCCACGGCAGCCGGCAAGCTAGATTTGGCGTTGGCGGCTGTGGCCCGAGGTCGGGTGACCCTCGACGATCTAGATCTGCCGCCGGCGGTCATTGTTCGAGGCCAAGCGACCCTCGGCGAGGGTCGCGTGACCCAGGCGGTCGTCGTCTGGGTTGCGCGACTTAAGTGGCCGACGCCTGGGGCTGCCTAAGTCAAGCGACCTAGGCGACGGCCACCTGGGCGGTCGTGCGACCTAGGCCGTCGGCGCCTGGGCGGTCGCGCAACCTCAGGTAACCGTCACTTGGGTCGTGCGACCTCACCAGCCTCTCGCCAGCTTGATTCGGTGTCGGCCGCCCTCGCCGGTCGCCTCACGAAGAAGATGAGCAGTACCAAGAGCGGCAAAATCGGAATAAACCAAAATAAGTGAGGGTAGTTTGGGGGCAAAAAATTTGGATTCAGCATTTGTGAAATGCCGAAAGCCTAAAGCTGGCTTTAGGTCACCAGCTTTAAGCTTCCGACATTCCAAATGTTAGCATTTGGCCAATGTTAGGCCGAGAGCTAAACCAAGCGGTTCAGCATTATGGGAAGGGGTTTTCGAGACCGAAAGCCCCTTCTTAAAACTGAATCAAATGGGCCTTTGTTCTTAAATCAATAGATGGTTTTTTCTTTTATCTAGAAATTTGAATAAAACTAATGAAAATAGAAAAGAACCGTAGAAAACAATTTTCTTTTTCTAATAGTCAAATGACTAATTCATTGATGTGTATACCAATTAGAGATCCGATAAGGTTGGCGATTGTGGTAATTTTACATGATTTAGCGATTTTTCGCTTTCGATAATGCACTAGTCAATTGGAAAAACAAAGCATTTACTTGAGTAAAAAATAAAAGGGAAGTTGCCATCTATCAATCTAGAAATGAGAATTGTCAAGCCAAGGGGACACCCACATTAATTAGACAATAGAGAAAAGAAAGGCTATGTTTTCTGTCAGAAGGGAAAAGTTGTCCTTTCCGTTTTGATTCGTGAGGAGATTCGACACGAGGCGCAATGGGTTTGGGCCACCAGAGCACTGCCGACCCAGAAAGGAGAAACAACAGAAATAACACAAGAAAGGCCAATACAGACAAAACAGTTCGACAACACAAGAAAGAACCTGTCATCCCCTCTCGTGAGCAACCAAAGCAAGCAAGCAATGCTTCTAAAGCCTAAGCGAATGCTTCATGTTGAATGACCATCTAGAGAGATAGACAGAGAGGGAGAGAGAGAGAGAACCTGGAAAGAGGATGTGGCGGTGCCAAACAAGAAGGAGGGAGGGAACTGGCCTCTGTGGACGGTGCTTCCTGAGCTCGCGAGCGGCAAGAAGAGACCTTGAATCAATAGCAGACGAAGAGGGAGAAACAGAACAGAACAAGCTCGTGATCTCATCTTTTTTCTCGTTCTTGAGCTGTGCTTTTCTCTGTGGATAAAAATGGAGGGGCTTCGTGGGGCTTTATATAGGCGACTGTCTTGGAAATAAACTGTCAACGTCCCCAAGTTGCGTTCCCGGCAATACAACCGAAACGGCCCATCATCATCCTCCATGACGAAATTCGCGAAAAGGGTCTAAAACATCTCTGGTTCTCAAGGCGAAAAAGAAGAAAAAGTTAAACTTGGGTGGCTTTCGAAGCATGACTTTCTGTTGCTTTTATGGGAAGTGGGCACACCGGGGCCAGTGCTCCTACGATTTTGGGCAGAATGAAGAAGGCGATCATGACATTCGGTGTGTGGCCAAATCTTGGGCGCACGTTCGGTTAACTCCGACATCATCACTGGTCAAAAGATCAGATTAAAACTCTAAATTTGCCGTTGATCCTGAACATAGGAAGTTGGAACACGAGACTATCACTCCCTCATGTTCCTGCCCTGTTTTCTTGACTTTTGAATTTACGTATCCATCAAAACGGGAAATCAGGCCCTGTGGTATTGAGAGAGAGAGAGAGAGAGAGACTAGTGGTTTGAACATGGAGACTTCATGCAACAGAGAATCTATGGCTGCCAAAACTTTTTGGGCGGTGAGCTTTCCTTGTTTTTGCCCCTTTTTCGGCACGTTTTTGAGCTTGTTTTAGGATTTTTCAAAGTTTAAGCTTTTTCCTTGACAGTTTCGAGGGTTAATACCAAGAAAAATCTCAAATCGATACACACGTGGTAAATTTACCCCGAATTAATTTTTATCACAAAAAACCCTAAATCGATACACTTGTAACAAATTTACCCTATATTAAATTGGATTAATACTACGAAAATTCATAAATTGATAAACTTATAAACCACAAACCGGTACACCTGTCAACTGATACATGTCATCAAACTCAGCAAATTGACGGTAAAATTTAATAAAAATTAACGAAGGGTAAATTTATCACATATGTACCAATTTTGAATTTTTTGTGATCAAAAAATTAATTTAAGGTAAATTTATTATTAGATGTATCAGTTTGAGATTTTTCATAATATTATCTCTAATTTCAAACAGGGAGGAAACGCCTTGTTTAAGTTAAATCATAGTTCAGCTACCACCTTAACTACTCTGCACGTGCCCCATATGGCATGCATCTCACCTACTACTTTTTAATTTTCCAATAAAAAAAAATTAATTTAGTTTTGACAACAACCCAGGTTGCAGGCAATTAGTCGTGACGTCGTGCAAAGCATTCCGAGGGACGAATTTAGAGCGATGCTAAGTACTTCGATTTACAATTTCTATCGTGTCTTTTGATGAGCATATAGATATTAGAAGTACCCCGAATATACCAGCAGAAAAATTTCCAAAGCATCCGATCAAATTGGTTGCCATCCGCTCTAGAGAGGACATCGGCGTGCATGCATATATGCTTGTCGACCATTGCCTACTTATCTTTCTCGCATATGTTTCGTCCGAATCCTCATCGATCGTCGCGAGTCTGGTTCTCTCTGTTTTTTTAACCTCAAAAGACTGCCTGAGCTTTTCGCACAAGTATTCTGTTATCAGAAGCGTGCCTGCCCAGCACCAAGCTGGCTCTTGGATGAGCTGACCACGCTCTCCGGTACAAGTCCTGCCACATTCCTTGATCAGTTTATAAGTCACGTTGCTCGAACTAAACAGGTAACACTATCACTAGGAGAGTCTCCATTCTTCATGTACAAGCACCATATCAAGGCGCTCCGTGATTAGATTAGTGCCCGAACAACAGTCGGACCAAGTGAATCACCGTTTTTCCGAATCACAAATCACCTAATAAGTAAATCATCGATATCATCAGATCTTATGCTTCGGTTAGTTACTGAAGATAAGATCCTAATTCTTCCTTCCTACAAAGCAACATCATCAAAGTCACCTGTGATGGCCCTTGTGTTGGCAACTATCATAGGTAGGGGTGAGCATTGTTCAGCTGGGTGGTTCTCACCATGGAACTGAGAACCGCCCACTAAGGGCCAGTTCCGAAAAATTGAAATCGAAAACCGCCCGTTAGCTCTATGGATCCATCCGAGAACCGGACCGCTAGTGTGGTCAGATTTCCGAGTGGATCCATGGAACTGATCCCACCAAGCTTCACGCAAATGGAGATGATCGAGAGCAAGAGAGGAAGGCGATGAACTGCCGGAGGTGCTGCCGTGAATTGATGGGAGTTGAGAGTCGAGGTCGTAAGCCGATGGGCAATGAACTTAAAAGTTGAGACCATGAATGAGAGATACAGAGATGACTCAAATAAAGTGAGAGTGAGACGATACGAGCACTAAGTTGATAGGCATTAAACTTTAGATTATGGATTTTAGGATTTTCCTTTTTCTTAAAATGTTTTCGTTTTTGTTTTTTTTGTTGGAAATTTTTCTTAAAAATTATATATATTACCGGTCCAGTACGAGTGTTCGGGTGGACGATTCCACGCCTAGAACCGGGAACTGGACCGGTACTCTCCGATTCTAGTAAATTGGAACCGGGAACCGGACCGGTTCCTACAGGAACCGCCAGTTTCGGTCCGGTTTCGGGCGATTTCCGGTTTCTTTGTGCACCGGTAATCACAGGCCATGATCACTTAGTTATCCTTCCCTGAAGGGATTTGCCTCAGACCAAATGTAGCCAACCATTGCATCGCGTTGACCGGTGAATTGGGTTTTTATGAACAAATTCACTCTATCTAGCAGAAAGCTAAACTGAATCCTTCCCAGGGTTTATGCCCAACACCCACATCCCTCCTGATCGCCCCATAGCTTCAACAATGGGGTAAATTTAGAGCCAAACTTGGAAATGAAGCTATCAACAGCCTGATGATCTTGTTTCAAGACCACTGTACTTGGATTTTTTGAGTCCTAATCAAGTTCAACACCAAATCACGAGCATTTGCATGACGAAAGAGAAACCCACCACCTCCCCCCACCCCTCAAAAAACAAAAAATAGCTTGGGGCTCCACTGCAATTTCCATATAGTACCTCGATTATGATTAATTACAAGAGCTTGTAGTAACACAGACGACAGAAAGCAAGAATGACTGTCCATCTCGGCAAAGTGTATTTAACATGATTTTCGCTCTACTGGATACGCGGATTTCACAGTTGATGCTCATAACTACTGGTTGAACAGGATTCTGAGTCAAAAAGACACTATTGCATTAGCTTCATATATCATGTATAACACTTTTCCCCGGGAGCTTTTCCTTGTGATGCTCTCGCATACTAGCGGAAACCCCAACCCGAAACCCCCACCCACCCAAGAAAGAAAAACACTTTCTTATTTCCTTCTCGAAACCCAAAAATAAGACAAAGACACTTAAAATGCTAAATAACACGCTGCTACAAGAACAGGACTCGACTCGCAGAGCTAACCCTGACTTCAGGCGTTTCAATGCGCCCTAAGAACTGAGCAAGGCCGACATTGAGGAGATCTAAGACATTTATACCATGTTCTCATTTGGCAGCATCAAGAACCAGGTTCTGCCATTTTCGGTTTGCTGTGGTTTCCAAATCTTCGGGATACAGCTGCATCAGATAATGTATCCCACACCTACAGATTCCCAACCCCATAGGAATTACTAATAAACCATGAATGGAAAATGCAAGGAGGTACAATGTTGACCGAGGAAATGGAGAAGATTTCCACTTACTTCAAGTCTCCCCTTTGAACCTCCAATAGCAAGTACAAAGGGACTATCCTCCGAGAAGGAAACAGAAAAGACAGCACCCTAGAACAATGACAAAGCTCAGTATTCTGATTGTCCACAACTATTAATTGGCATGTGCATAATGCTTCAGAACATCAATATGTGAATAACGTAGGGTCTCTTACAGCTTTTGGATTTCTCGAAGCAATACATGAAGGCTGGTTATTGGACAGATCCCAGAGTTTTACCTGCATTTGGTCAGTGAACATACATATATAAGTACCATCCACCAGGAAAGATCAAGCCAAACCACATTGCATGAGGAACTAAAGGATACCATCTTATTCACTTATTACGAATTACGATAAAATCAATTTTTTCAACTTGTTTTCACCTCAATCAAATTCTCACAGTTTACTTTCGCTGAAATTGAATTTCCTAAAAGTATTTTCCCGCGGCAAAAAAATGCTCAGCGAGATGAACACACCCCTAAGAGTTTGTTTTTATATGGTTTTCAATTTTCGTATGATGGTATTTGATCGAAGGAAATCGCAAGATGAAATTATCGATGAACATTGAGAAATGGAGATCAATTTGTTGTCGTATGATTTTTGCGGGTGAACGAGGGAACAAATGAATCAGTGTTGGATTTTACATAGTGATCTAGAGACTTTTTTTTAATCTTTTTGATGAAATCTCTACGATTATGGAAACCTCACTGTAAGGCACGAACTGCCAAATAAAATGAATCGTTTGTGTGATTCTTCTTCTTCCTTCTTCTGTTTTTTTTGTTTTTGGTCGATGTGCGATTCCTTCTTGAGCAAAGCTGATTCATCATGTACTATTCGTAGTCCAAGTCTTCGTAGACTTTGACTTTTCTTTACTGCAGACGATACCATCACTCCCCTCCATGTGACCTGACCCCCGACAGCCGACTTGCTCCCGCTCCATCCATCATCATAATCACGGCCCCCCCTCTGTCCTTTTCCTCTCTGCTCCCTCCCCCCCATTCAATTGCATTCTGTCTTTTGCTGCTGCCAAAATAACCCAAATGCCCCTCGTGGCGAGGAATTTCCTCCTTTCTCTTTGGTTTTTTGGGCATTTGGTTTTAATGATAAAACAGGGCCGAGGGGCTCTGTCCGGGGCTCCGAAAATCCGGCGAATTCGCTGAGTCGGCCCCACCGACACCAGCGGCCGTGCAGCCATGGATTTGTGGTCGTAGCTAGTGACCTCCGTCGGTGGCGAATTCCATGGACATAGGTCGAGGAGTTAACTCGCAGATAGATTGATGCACGAAGGTAAGGGCTCGTGATGGCGATGGGCAGGTGGCAATTCAATGACGGCAAGTGGCGGTTCCCTCGAACATCCTAACCTCTATATTCACTGTGATACTAATTATTCAAATCGTTTTTACGTCGTCAAAATCCAAAACTTGTACGGGGACCAAAAAAATACGCTCCGTCAAAGTTTGGTATAAGATGGACATTGAAAATCCGATGTCGCGGTTTGCCTGGACAACTGACGAGCTTTAAAATCAAGCATGGATTTGACGTTGCTTGAAAAAATTCTATAAGGAAACTTTTACTGTGCCAGTGTGATATCGATTCTCCAACTTCTTTTTTTTTCTTTATAATTAATACCCCAATTTGTACTAGTTACCAAAAAGCACCTTTCATCACAATTTTGTCTAAGATGACCAATAAAAATCCGATGTGGCAGCATGTATGAACAACGGCAGGTAAATAGAGTTAATGTGGATCTGACGTGACTTTAGTATAGTTGAAACTGATTTTGGACAACTTGTCAAAGTTTTAAGTTTTATTAAAAAAAAACTGGACTTAGCAATTTTTAGAGTCCTAGAAGTGAGATAATCCACGAAACGAGCTTATTTGAAACTCAATATGCAAAAGGAAGAGTCTACAATTTTAACTCTCGAGAAAAGTGGCATTGGAATATAATCTTGCTTTGCTTTCGCCCTTTTTCCACTGCGCACTCGAGACTTTTGCATTCGTCCACCTTCTTTTTAGCATTACACTTTTGGTCTGCTCGCACGACGACTTCCTTCCAGATCCTTCCTTGACCTTTGCACATTTCTTCCTTTGCTCTGCTCACACCCATCCAAAACCCTAAAAAACCCATGCCCATGGCCATGGTCATTCCCGGGGGTTGATGAGCTGGGCTCCTCGAGTGCATGAGTGAAGTGAATGCGCCAACACCAGCAAGACCTTCAGATTTCGATCGAGTACAGACGTTGATTAAATGGACCTATTTGATATTTGATAAGTATAACATGGAGGAAGCACATGGTGGGGGCAGCCAAGGAGGAGAGAGTAAAATCTTGCTAGATCCGGAGGCGTAAAAATGTTCCATTCTAGAACTCATAAGTTCTTAAGTCTTTTTAGACATATATCTGACGGTCATAAGAAAATTTTAAGATCGAAGTTATTAAATCACGATAACTCGATGAGTCAAAAAAGACTCTTGGGAAGTATCAAATTCCTTGAATTGAGACCAATGGAAGATCAAATTTGTTCTCCGATAGCTTTAGCTTTGATTATACTCCACTAAAATTTTGGTTTAGTAAACGAAAGTCCAAAAGTCTGCATGTAGATTTTTGAGATCAGACTCCTTCCATTTTAATCGAAACTGAGCTACCTCCACTAGCTCCAAAGCTTGGGGAAGAAGAGACAATTAAGTGGGATTCACTGTCTAACTTCTACATTATCAAAAGAAAAGAAAGGCTTTTCGTATAGATACAAGCGGGTCTCAACTATCAAAGACCTTTGTTCCTACTTCACCACAGAACATTAAGGAACTAAAAAAGAAGATTTTTCAAATGACTTTTCGGTAGGCCATTGAACTTAAAAGCCACAGGATTGGCTGAACATGCAGAGGGCCGTGGGGCCAGTTTTGCTACAAAATTGATCAGTAAGGATGCTTCCTTGTAGCATCACTCCAGCCTGTCAAAGTTGACAATTATTACGTTTCTTAATGCAGCAAAATCACTGGACATGTGGTGCAGAAATTTTGTGGATTATAATCGACCTTTGCCCCCAAACAAAGGGGTAAGTACAGCGCAAGTGCCATAACTTTTGTACGGAGGATACTTAAGTGTTATAACTTTTTTTTGGCTCACTTGAGTCCCATAACTTCCAAAAAAAAAATCGCTTAAGTGCCACTTAGGAACTGGTCGTGAGGGCCCAAAACCGCTGCTTTTTCGGCCGAACGGTGACCTTCCCGGCGAGGCAAGCACCACCAGCTTGAAGAGGGGGTGTCAGTGAATTATTCCATGGCCTCCGTTCGTCTCGAAATTTGAGTTTTAGCCTCCATTGACGAAGATAAAAATGCTTCGTAGTCACACAATTTATTGAACCAATTTGTGTGACTACGAAACATTTTTACCTTCGTCAACGGAGGTTAAAAAGGAAATTTCGAGACGAATAGAGGCCATGAAATGAGTTACCGACACCCCCTCTTCAAGCAGGTGGTACTCGCCTCGTCGGGAAGGTCACCGTTCGATCGGAAAAACCGCGGTTTCAGGCCCTCACGACTAGCTTGTCATAGGGGTTGGTCGTGAGGGCCTGAAACCGCGGCTTTTTCAGCCAAACGGTGACCTTCCCGGTGAGGCGAGCACCACTAGCTTGAAGAGGGGGTGTCGGTGAATCATTCCATGGCCTCCGTTCATCTCGAAATTTCCGTTTCAGCCTCCGTTGACGAAGGTAAAAATGCTTTGTAGTCATACAAATCGGCTCGATAAATGTGTGACTACGATGCATTTTTACCTTCGTCAACGGAGACTAAAACGAAAATTTCGAGATGAACGGAGACCATGGAATGATTCACCAACATCCCCTCTTCAAGCTGGTGGTGCTCGCCTCACCGGGAAGGTCACCATTCGACCGGAAAAGCCGCGATTTCAGGCCCTCACGACTAGCTTGTCAAAGGGGTTGGTCGTGAGGGCCCGAAAACTACGGCTTTTCCAGCCAAACAGTGATCTTCCCGGTAAGGCGAGCACCACCAGCTTGAAGAGGGGGTGTCGGTGAATCATTCCATGGCCTTCGTTCATCTCGAAATTTCCGTTTTAGCCTCCGTTTACGAAGGTATAAATGCTTCGTAGTCACACAAATCGGCTCGATAAATGTGTGACTACGAAGCATTTTTACCTTCATCATTGATGCTAAAACGGCAATTTCGAGACGAACGGAGGCCATTGAATGATTCACCGACACCCTCTCTTCAAGCTGGTGGTACTCGCCTCACCGGGAAGGTCATTGTTCGGCCGGAAAAGCCGCGGTTTCGAGCCCTCATAACCAGCTCGTAAGTGGTACTTAAGTGATCTTTTTTTTTAAAGTTATGGCATTCAAGTGAGCCAAAAAAAAGTTATGGCACTTAAGTGTCATCCGTACAAAAGTTATGGCATTTGCGCCGTACTTACCCCTCCCCCCCCCCCCCCAAACAAATAAGTGTGCGGATACATTCAAAGTCGAAGTCAACAAAAGCAGACATCAAACTTCCAACCAAGTTCATTTCGTCCCGTCCTAATTGAGGTGAGCTCCGGTCAGTCTAGTTTGATAGGCTGATCGGGCCAAGGCTCGAATTAACTCCGAAACATAAAGCCATGTGGAATTATCGAGCTCGATCTTCATCAAAGCTCTCCCCTAGCGATCAATCAAATTAAGAAAAGATTACGTTTATTTCGGGGTGAACCATCCTTCGCATTTAACCCCTCGTTAGTGTCAATGAATTGCTCGTCACTAAGCACTGTAGTTGGACATAAATCCATGCTTTGTGCGGATTATTATACAAAATACTATTAAATAGGGCACACAAAACCAATGTGTAAGCATAGTCTTCTGTTGATGTAGATGGGAAAAAATTATTCATGAGTATCCTATGAGAACTTTGAGCCACTAACAAGTACGGTAACTAAAGTCACGAAGCTAATATGACCTAGTAGATCCTATTTGGAATCCAACTCAATTATCATTCCAAATTCCCAATTGAACTCCGAAGCCTCTCCAATGGCTAGCATTAGTTCAGTGAAGCCTCTCCAATGACCATAATGATTAAAAAAAATATTGACTCCCCCCTATCACAATTATGAAAGTTCTCTATTTCAGATAATATTTTGGGAGGTGTGGCTCTTCATTCTTTCTAATGCTAATGGATTATCTATTACAGAAGAAGAGAAAGAGGCGAAAACATAAGAACTTACAGACAGTGCAAGACTATTCCATGTTAAGCTTTTAGAATTGGAAATTTTTTTTTGCCACACTTCTATTCTTTTGAAATTAAACGATTTGAGTCACTATTTCAGATTTACCTCAACATTCGATAAT